TGTCTTCCTCCCCATCGGGAGCGAGTCCTCGTGGAAATAATCCGTTGACTCGGGCACTCAGTATCGCGACGGGTATCCTTCGAGGCGGGCGGCGGCGGTCATCATCAACATACCAACACGAATGGACGCCATCCTCACCCCGGAGGATGCAGACATTTGGTGGTGCCCGCGGACAGGGACTCGGCTTGGAACTACAGGGGGCGCGTGACGCGGAGGAGGACGAGCTGTTGGCTACTTTGGAAGAGCTCGCTCAGAAGACGGAGGTGCTCACGCACTGGGCGGACGAGATGTATGACTACGTCAAAGCCTTCCCGCAGAGTACGTATACAGTGAGTTGACACCACTCCGGCAAGGATTGACCGTTTCCCCCTGTAGAACCCCTTCCTGATCCTACCAAGTTCTCCCGACGGGAAGGCGAGACGGAGCGTCTCGCTGCGCGGCGGAAGAACGCAGACATACAGGCGGAGTACAACGCGATGACGTGCGTCGCGCTGTACATGCTCCTCATGTCCTTCTCGCAGAAGGGCATAAATAAGCTGCGCAACTTCAACGAGCATCTACAAATGCGCGATCCAGAGGGCGAGCTTGAGGTTAGCGAGGGCTTCGACGAAGGTCCGTACCTGAGAATGAGCGTTGTGCTCGGAATTCACTCACAAGTGCGCATTCAGCCCTGTCGTGGTTCAAGGACCACTTCATCAAGTGTCACGACCGCGCGGCGTTGGTCAAGACGTGGCTTCCCGCACAATATATCGGGCCGCCGACATTCCTTGACCAGCTCGTATACGACCGTGCATTACAGCTAGTGAGTTTGCGGTTAATTTGTCCTTTTCTACGGCTACTGAAAGATGAACGCAGAGTCGGACAGCTGCAAAGAAGGAGCTCTTCGACCAAGCAAGCTCTCCTGACGAGTGCGAGAAGCTGTACGAAGAGTCCCTCTGGTGTCTGTACGCGCTGCGGGACGACCTTCTCCACTCGGATAATCCCTTCCTGGACGAGGATCGCAGCACCATCTCAACATGTACGGTTCCCTCCCAGAACCTTTCGCGAATGCTCAATGCTAACAATCGTGATGACAGGGATTAAGCGGACCAAGTTGCGTCTAGTCCGCTGTCGCGCGCGCATGAACATGACGGATCGCGAGCGCGTCAAGGACGCGCGGCTCGACAACAACCTCGTCGACGTCCCACGGATACCGGCCCCTTGGGACGAGGGGACTACGGCGAATCCCCTTGCTATTCAGGACCAGAATACTCGTCCATAGCTTTCTATCTCCTTTCTGTTATTCAGGTATTGCACGGAGTCGGAGGACGCACGCAGGACGTTTATGTAGTATATGTACCATCACTGTTGGATATAGATGTACGCTCATCATGTACCATTATCATCATATTCTATCGGATCCTATTTAGCTCGTCGTCTGTGCCACTACATAGTCAGGAGAAGTGATTGACAAGTGTCTATAGCTTGCCTAGCGTAATAGTAACAGATGTGGTTCAGTGGAAGGAGAGCAGAGGAGCATGAACCTCCGTCAGTGTCCGTGTCCATGTCCGCTGAATGCTGCACGAAACATTCGTACGATCATTCATCAAAATGTTAGCACTCGGTAAAATCCTGGGTGCGTTCGCTGTCGAGGGATTCATAAGCTCTACGAACGGTAGCACTTAGAACAGATGACTCACGCTTGACACCAAAATTAAGGAATCCTCGTCAATCATGGCTGCGTCAATCCAGCCTTCCCGCTCCTCATCGAAGCTCGCCATCCTGGTTTCTCTATACGGTAGCGACGTTTCCACGACATCCTCGAAAATGTCCCTGTCGGCGAACGTTGTCGCCTGCGTTACGAGCTCCGCGTGCTGTGAGAGTGGCTCCTTCTCCAGACCCGCGCGACGGATATCGCGTTGGTTGAAGTCAAGCAGCGTGACGATCTGCTGAGAGCCGTCTCTTGACAGGAACACAAACGACATGCCGTAGACGTAGCATATCCAGACGATCGTTACCTCGGAGGGAGTGACGTAGAATCGGGATCCTTTAGGACCCCACTCCGCCCAAGTGAAAGTGTGCCGAGTTGTTCCGAAAGGAATCGGAGAGAGGGAGTAAAAGAAGGTCGAGGACGGGATGAGCGACACGAGGGAACGGATTCGGCGTTGCCCTTTCTCGGCCACGTAGAGTGACACAACGAAAAGCCTTTCTTCTTGATCCACGGAGAATGGGACCTGGAGGGAGGGATGTGGCTGCCAGTGGGGTGCCGGAGCAGAGCGGATTGTCATGCCAACAACTCTGCAGGTAGGTCCGAGTTTAGGATAGAGGAAGTCGCACATGTACTCGATATTCTTGAGTTGTACTGGCTCATGTGGTGCAAAGTCCATGTCTAGGACGAGGATGCGGGGGCTCCTTCGTGAGTTAGCATATTGAGCGTTGTCTGGACCGTCTGATTCTTCGTTGCCGAAGGGGCAAAGCAAAAGATAACGTGGGCTAAGAAATGCAAATGACGAGTCGGAGAAGTGCTGCCCCTGAACATGCTGGCGCAGTAGTCAGCACACCTCTGTTGCTACCAAGTTGACCCTTACCAGCCTGCAATGACCCGTCCGCCAGTTCCATATCAATAGCTCCGAAGGATCACCTGGTGTCCGCGACAAGAGGAGGGTGCCGAGATGATCTCCGGCGATTTGTATGATATACATGTGCGGTCTGAGGAAGGTCTGATGTCTCAGAACAGCTGATCCAACGGCTGCAGGATGTGGTGCCCCAGTCAGAAGCGACTTCAAGTATAAACAACACACACTCGCAGATCTAATCGTTGCTGTCAGATCGGGCGCGCGGTGAGGAGCAGAAAACGTACCCAACCATGGTATGCTCGACCACAACAAGGAGATCCTGGGCGGGATCCATGCTGAAGTCGCGCATATCCATTCCAACATCAGGTATCTCCCACTTCTTCGCCTTGATCCCGCGGATCGCAGACGGAAGCTGCTGAAGGACCAAATTTAGGTCTTGCAGCTCCCAGGGTCCAAAGCCCATCGGGAAAGTGAGCTCAGATCGCCAAGCAAGGCGTCTCCATGCGGCCTGTCGTTCACGAAGTAGGGCCAATCGTGCTGAGGGCGTCAGGTTACTCGGCGGGCCATCCTCCATGCCTGCTGCCCCCAGCTCGACCGTGTACTGCATGCGGGTATCGCGGTCGACAAGATCCTTCCACGTGGCACATACCTGGCAATGACTGTCAGTGATGCGTCAAGGATCCACGGGGAAGCGTGCAACCTGTCGGCAATGGAGGATCGTCCGGAAGTCTAGGTTGACGAGAACGGCGATAACAAGTTCGGGAGGCAAGCTAGTCATTCTGTCTGTATGCGAGTGATTCGATTTAGATGGGTTTGCGTGACAGACTGAGACGTGTACTTACTGACGGTGGTGGTGTGCAGTCAACCTGGTGAACGAGCGCCTCTCCCGTGCGAAACCTCGAAGACAGCGCATCTTGTGCGCAGTCGATACGAATTTGAAAGGTCTGCTTCAATTGACGATGGCACTTACAGAGACCTACATGTCCCTCGTACAACCTGTAGAATCTGCGCAGCTCGTCGATAATGTGACTTAAGACATGATTGCTTCCCTCAAACGACACGACCATCAGAAGTCAAAGCTCTTATTGAGATCCTCCTTCAGATGCTCGCGCATACCAGGAGGGAGAATCGGCTCCCCATCCTTGGTAATGTATCCTATGAGACGTGTCAGGGATGAGGTACAGAGGCGATGTGCTCCCGAAGCACTCACTGAACGGCATCTCCACGCTCTCTTTCGCATTGAAGACGATCGTAGGGAAGTCCTGGAAGTGATCTCAGCATAGGAATCTACAGCGGAGCAAACGTCTCAGCCCGTACCACGAAGGGTATTTTCGAGAGTGGAGCTGTGGTATAGATGTCAACGGCGAAGCAACGAAGGGCGAGGGGAGGTCCCTACTCTTGTCTTGGACAACGGCTTTAGTCACACCCAATGCAGTGTCTGTAGTCATCTGTACGGGCCCTAGATGGCGACCTGGAAAGCCGAGTACGCGCAGCTCGGAGGTCCGGTCTCGGGGCGGATCGTCACCTGGAGTACTCAGTCGGACATGTGCAAATCAACCGAGCTCACAAAGCTCAAGGCCGCACCTAGAATGCCCTGAAAGTGCACGCCAATTTCAGAGATTTTCAGCCGCAATGGTGCACAGAGAACCTACCCCGAAAAGAAACCACTCAAACCGGCCGTCGCCGTCTTCAGGTGCGAGCTCTTTCTCCGCCTTCGGGTCCAGCAGACAAACTTTATCCAGAGATATTCCTTTCTCCTCCATAAGCTGCATCACAGACTTCTGGTGCGCGAACGCCTCGGCGCGTGAACGGTCTGCATCTTGCGAGAAAAGCGAAGAGAGCGTGGTGCACGATGCAGGCGAGAGATGGGTAAAATGGACCGTCGCTCCCGGCCCAGCAAAAGATCGCATGTGCTACAGCATCACGGAGTTCTGTCAGCATTTGAGACAACAGTATTGATCGCATCAATGCGCCTACCATATACTCTAGCTCCACCCATTTAGGGATCGACTTGGGAGTCTCCTCGTCTTCTTCCATGTGTTCTGCGGCGTCGATTCGCATCAACATACTAAAACATACGAGCGAAGCATACTCACCAATGACATATGAGAACGGCATTCTTGATAGAAGGAGGTTCAGTGATGGGCGAAGCGGTGCTAAGTACTCGGAGTTGGACCGCAAGCAAAACGACGTCGGCATTCACCGACGGGCGTCTCGGTTGCCTAATCCGTCCCCATAGACTCTCTGCTTGTGGCGTATGGTTACAAGGCCACAAGGACACTGTGCGATCTTAAATACATGAGCCATATGCTTGACATGATGTGATGCTAAGAGGCTCAGGAATTCGTCGTGCCAGACCGTATTTTGCTGCACAGTCACGTGACCAACGCCTTCGCAAAACTTCTGCGTTTCAGTCGACGCAAAAAATATTCGCCTTGTTCCGTTAGCCCACCGCGAGGGTCGAACTCGCAGCCTTCAGATCACCACCAAACACAATCGGTTGTAAGAGTCTGACGCTCTATCCGATTGAGCTAGGCGGGCCATGCCTTTGGAATGCTATCCGCCAATAGTGCCCGGGAACACGAACTTGGTACAAGGTGCTGTATGGCTAAGCATGCTCGTTCAAGTTTCGAAACTCGCGGGAAGCAGCATTTGAAGCAAACACTGCTTCGGACACAGACCTTACGCTTCTCTGACTTCGTCGCCAAAGACGGATCGCCGTCTCCCCGTTGAGCAGGCGCTGCGAGGACGGTAACTTAAGAAGCGGGAATGAATGACGGACTCCCGCGGTCCTAGTTAGGCTCGCAAGCCAGCCTCTAGTTCAAAGTTGCGGAAGACAGTCGTTCCTCTTTGAATAGTCCTAGTCACCGTGCATTGTCGATCCGGCTGTCGCCAGGGTTCAACATTGCTGCTTGAGTGAGTCCCTTGCCTGTCGGCGTCCCGACATTCGGTCACTGGATCAAGATCATGCAGAAGTCAACCTCACAAGAAGAACGGCCCTAATATTCGTCTGTCGACAAGCCGCGTGAAGTGAGTAGCAGACGGACCCTACTCCAACTTCTTGCCACCCGGACCATACCGCTCCTGTCCAGCCGCTTGCAGAGACCCATCGACCTCCTCCCTGATGCCGAGCTCAACCTTGAGCACGGAGCTGTTGAACTCCATCATCGTCAAGCCCATCTGGTGGCGGATGCGCGGCTCCCAGTTGTCCGGGAGGCGTTCCTCCGTCAAGAGCGTACGAATGTCCTGCTGTATGCCGCCGAAGATGGTAAGGAGCGTCGATGCACTACGAACGTGGAGTCAGCAACTGCGATGCGGGGCCCATCGACAAGTAAACATACTTGGCGCTCGCGAAGAAGCGGTGAATCGGAGCCTGACTGAACGTCGGGTTCGCCTTCTTCGACTCCAAGCGGCGTTGACCCAGGAGGCGTGACAGGTCCGCCGCAGTGAGCTTGCCGTTGGCGCCGGTGCCGGCTGCCAGCAAACGTTCGACGAGCGGCCGAGCAATCTTGGACTGATCGGGTTCCTCGACTGCATCCAGGCCTTGATGGGGTAACCGTGTCAGCTCGGAGGGAGTACAGCTCGGACCGTGGGGAGTACATACGGACGAGCGACCCATCGTGCTCGACACAATTGTGCACGTCGAGATCGGCCAGGTCAAACGAGTCCGTCCAATAGCTCCGGTTGAGCATGTTCGCCGCGTAGTTGGGCACGAAGAAGCATAACGTCGGTCCGAAGTTGTATGTCTGCCGTATCGCGGCGGAGAGTTCCTTGAACCTGATGTTCCTGCCCGAATGGGGAAGAATCCCTACCGGGAAGAACACGTACGTGCATCAGCACTGACAACGATTTGGACTGAACGCATGACGCACCGTGGTTCGCCATGGCGTTCAGAGCCGGGCACGAGCCTCGACTGTCGTCCTGCTTCGGAGCGACGTAGGCTGGCCACTTCCCTCCTGTTCCCGGATGACCTTCAGGGACGACATGGCCGACGGGCCTGTCAGGCGTGACGAGATTGATCACAACGAGCACCAGGTCCACCAGGAAGACAAGAAGGCTCGTCAGGTGGCCTTCTATGAAGGAGAGGAGGCCCATGAGGACTCGCTTAGTCGCGATGAGGGCGAAGGGTGGGTCGCTCATGGTGGGTGGTGGGTGAGAGCAGATGCGGGGGAAGCGAGGCGTTGGCAACGGTGGACGACAGTGACAGCTTTTAGAGTCTCGTGCCCGTCCGCAAATGGGATCGAGCATTCTGTCAGCAAACTCAGTACGTTTCTTTGACTCCGACGCCCAGCATAGACAGCGGGCCTCCCGCAAAGGCAGGCGCTGGCAGGCCGGTAACCTACGAATCAGTACTAAATGGGCAGATAGCATGGTCTGTACCGATTTCGGCCTAAGCGACCCACGCCGCCGTGAACAGTCGAAGTCGATGTACTTATCCTCGTACTTTGGCTCACGAGCCTTGTCCCATTTGGCCTGGTTCTACTACGACACCTGTTGTGCAACACGATGTACCTGCCTGTGATTCATCAGTGAGTACCATTCCATCTGAGCCAGCACGCACCCTTGTCTACCTCTCACAGCACGACTTTCAAGGTCGCGTCCACTTCTCATAATCGAATCTCCCATGCAGTCGAGTGACGATCTCCTGGTAATCCGGCTCATTATCAGGTGTTATGATGCCCTTCCTCACCATGAAGTCGATCAAGACTATCGACTCGTAACACGTCAGCGACGATGGTAGAGATACGAGGCACTGAAACGCACCTGGAGCGCAGTTGTACTTGAACACACCAGTCTTGATATGGTGCACAACAGCGGACAGGGGAAGCAACTGGCGGAAAGGGCGTCACGGCAATCCAAGTACCCACTCCACTCTGTCGACTTACCTCAAACGATTCAACCTCCCCATCAAGAGGCTGCGGCTGTACACCAGATCCCGGCGGAAGGCACAGATCGTACGCGTATCTGACATCCGGTCAGCTTCGATGTAACAACACAGACAAACGTAGTCACTCACTCGATCTCGGGCTGAAGCCAGCCACGCGGCGTCCTGCACGAGCATCACAAGTCAGCGATAGGAGATACGCAGGTGCTACTGTGTCGCTTACCGGAAAAAGTAGCTTATGCTGCCCGTCGGACGGGCGTGCCGCCTTACGACGTCCTCAGGAATGCTAGCTTCCTCCATGGACTCCTTGACAACGCAGTCAAAGACACCGCGGCCAGCGTCGATCCCGCCGGCGACGCTGTTGTCGAGGTACCCGGGCCACGTTTGCTTCGTTGCGGCCCGGCGCGGCACCCAGATCTTGTACTGAGCTTCGTCCGCGGGATCGACCTCGTAGACGGTCATATGGACACCATAGGTGACGATACCGAACAACCCGCTCGCCGACCTCTCCATCTCGAAGGCATAGTTGAGCGTGTCTCCGTGGCCGTCTCCATCCTTCGGGTAGTCGCGCGGGCCAAACGGGTTGCGGTACACGGGGTAGAGCTCAGCGCGCCACTTCCGCGGACTGATCTCGTCCGGCCAGAGACCCGTGTCGCGCCAGCGTTCGCAGAGCTCCTTCATGACACGCGAACGGGCCGCAGGAGTGTCGATTCCCCGGGCGAAGCTCACCCAGCCACGATCTGGGTCGTCATTGATCTCCCAGGAAGGCGCGGACGACGACTCGTTTTCCTTGCGCAGCTGAGCGACGATCTCCGGACGGAGTAGCCCAATTGCCGGGGAGGAGGAACTGGGGAAAAGCAGCCATGGAACGACCTTCTCGTCGCCGGGCGATCCTACGCGATAGTTATCGCAAGTACTGAGAATCTGGAGGAATGTCTGCGGAGGCTTGGGTGTGGGACCTGGCATCGTAGCTGCAGATGAAGGCGGAAGGTCAGCGGGACGTATAAGTATATGTGTTGCGGTGACGAGAACGTGTACGTCTATCCGCACACCGCAGCTTTTACGTGGAACGTCGAGGTCAGCGCATAACATAGGCTCTCATGTCGGTGGGACAAATACAGGCGCCCGTCTAGTCCCAAATTCGTGACGCGACGAAGACCGCAAGTCCACAGCCGCGGTAAGAAGAAGTTGGCGATGGGACAGGAAGGAAGCACGGGTAACATTGCTCCTACAGCAACTCCCATCGGACCCTACCGGCCAGCTACAAGGGGGTGACAAGAGGGCCAAGAGTCAAGACCGTATCGTACTCTGAGGGACGAAGAGCTACAGGCTGGCCAGGCCATAGACCAGATGCTGCGGCAGCGTAAGGGTACGACGTTGATTGAGATGCTATTACAGATGACGATAGATATACACAGCAATACATGACGAACAGAGATACAAGACAATTAGCGATACACAGCGATACGATAGCAATCCGAAGAGTCCATTCACCCAACACTACAAGGCCGCCGCGAGATGAGCGTGATGTCGGTCGACATCGTAGGAATCGTCAACGTCAAGGCGAAGATTGTGCTTTGACAGCTCCTCCACGAAGTCGGCGGTGGAGTCTCCCGGCTTGTGCACATTCAGCACCCCGTATGACCCGCCGTAACCTTCAGTGATAACCTCCTCAACGAATGGGATAGCTGCGATGCAAGACATGGTGAGCGCGATGATACATACAGTGAGGAGTGTGAACTGACCTCTATCCTGCTGCGCCAGCACGTCATCCCAATCACTGTGATGCGACGCACTCAGCTCCGAGCCATGACACTACAACAGGGAAAGACTACTCACAGCTCCCGGAAAAACGAATGGCCCCGTATTGCCGGATATACAGGCCGCAACGATGCTTCATGTTGTAACAGCTGCGTGGCCCGGTCAGAAAGTCATGGCACAGCGATATTTCAGAACAACGCACATCCATGACGAATTCCTGTAGCTCGAGCGGTGCCTGCAACTTGACCATCTGGGCGCTGACCTGCGTCACCTTGAAGGTCATTAAGTCCGGTGTGAGAGAACCTGGAAGATAAGCCTAGCGTCTGGAGTCAATGACGGCGACATCGGAGACTGTTATACGCCACGTACATCCCCCAATACGAGAGACACCACTGAGGCGGCGAGCGACCAATAGTCCACTCGCTGATCATATTCCCGAAAGCCGCCATCTTCGAGGGGCTCAAGCAGCTCAGGCGCAGCGTACTCTGCGGTGACGATCATCGTCGTCTCGCAGTCCCTTTCGAGCTTCCCGTCCGGATCCATGAAGCGGGCCCCGCCGAAGTCAGCCAGGACACAATGACCCTCGGCGGTGACGAGGACATTGCACGGCTTCAAGTCGTGGTGCACGATACGATTTCGATGCAAATGGTTCAGACCTAAAATCTGCACCAGTCTTCGTCTCAGTGACACCCGCGGGAAGCTAGATTGACAAGAAACTTGCGCACCAGCTCCGCACACACCAGCGCCAGGCTATCCTCGGGCAGCTTCCACCTGTAATGTTCTAAGTCCCCTCCACTATGCGCATCGGTCAGGATGTGGAGATACTTCGCCTCCGACCTCCAAGCCCACCGTGCGTCCGACAGGTACGGCCGAAGCAAGAACGGCATCGCTGATT